TATAATTATCATTATTATTATAATTATCATCATTATTATTATTAATAGTACAATTATTATTATTATTATTATTATTATTATTATTATTATTATTATTATTTTAATCCTTTACTGTAGCAAGCACTTGTAAAATAACTAAGATATTACTGTATGTTTTTCATTCCTTCAAGGAGAATAACCCCATTTTCTGGCGGCAAATGTCGCGTTGGCGAAATAGGTATAAGAAGAATGTGGTATGAGTGCCAATGAGACAACTATCCATCCAAGTCAAAATTTATAAAAGTAAACCATTATAGGTCAAAGTATGGTCTTCAACACGGAGCCTTGGCTCACACCGAACAGAAATAACTGTTAGAGAATCTGCGCGTAGGCAAAATAATTGTTTGTGAATAAGCGCGTACGCAAAATAACTGTTCGGGAATAACAGCGTAGCTAAAATGACTGTTTTTGGCAAACATTTGCACATCAAAATAATAACAAGCTAGAAATATCATATCGCTTGTTTACATCTGGGAAATATGGCGGCCGCCTCAATATTTTGCTCATTCTCGGATCAGGACATCGAAAACATTTTGAGACACAGACTCAAAAATCACTCTAAACAAGCTACAAAAGTTTCGTTGATATACTTGAATGAGTATGCAATACGTACAGATCTATGAGAAATCTTGATTTTTACTAGTTACAGTCGAGAGGAACTTTTATCTCAAATTTTTATTTTCATTCAAGGAAAATTATATCTTTGTATTCAGTTCAGCATAATGATACAGCTATGGCCTTCATGGAAAGTAGATGTTCAAATTTATTAAATCTCGAAAAGATTATTTTCCCTCGGAACTACGGACATCCAGGAAAATAACTTTTCCTCGACTTAATAATTTTGGACATTTTCTTTTTACATTTAATTTCACTTTTATTATTGTTATTATTATTATTATTAGTAGTAGTAGTAGTAGTAGTAGTAGTAGTCCAAATAATCATGACGTCTTGAAAGGCTATATATTTTAATTTTTTAACTTTTCCTCGATTTAATAATTTTGGACATTTACTTTTTACATTTAATTTCCCTATTATTATTATTATTATTATTATTATTTATCAAACACTGTGAATTATATAGCTATGCTGATGATAACACCCTCTCTAAATCAGTCTCTAACTCAGGTACTACTTTGGAATCAGTAATTAAACCCTTAGAGGAAGATAGTAACTCCCTAATATCATGGTTCCCCTTCAACAAAATGCAGGCAAACCCAGAAAAACTCCAGGCAATTGCCATAGGTAAAAAAACACACACTCAAAATATGGTCTTCAACCTAAATGGATTCAACATAAAATGTGACGACGAGGTGAGACTTCTTGGTGTAACAATAGACTTTAAACTGGATTTCAACACTCACATCACAAACATCTGTACAAAAGCTGCACGACAACTAAACGTACTAAAAAGAATCGGCACTCATCTCACCAGACTTTCTAAACTTACAGTATACCACTTATTTATCTTGTCAAACCTCAGCTATTGTCCTCTTACATGTATGGCACTTCTGCAGTGAACAAAACACAAAGAAAATAGAAAATACACGAAAGAGGACTCAGGTTTATTTATGACGACTACAAAAATTCTTACGATACACTCCTTGAACAGTCTAAGCTACCTTCACTAAAAAACAGAAGAATGAGAACCATGGCATTAGAGACTTACAAAATAATTAATAAATCAAGTCCGGAATTCCTACATAAATTAATAAACATTAAAGAAAATTCATATAATTTTAGGTACAAAGGCATAGCGCATATACCACGGCCAAAAACACTAAGAAAAAGCTTTAGTTATGAGACAGCAAGACTCTGGAACTCCTTGCCATATCAACTTTTGGCCAGTTCAAAAAATTTATCTCTACCTGGTGTTTTTCAGAAAATTGTACCTGCAGTTCTTGTAAATAATTTAACTCCTTGCTGCGCCATGACTTAACGATGTTAACTTTGAAGCCTGCTGTTTGTTTTTTATTTTTATTTTTTGCAATTTTTTATTTTTATTTATTATTTCTTTGTTTTGCTCATGCATTACCTGTGCTGCAGCTGCTTGCAGTCTTTTGCTTGTGCTTTATAGTGTTTAATTTCCAAGTGCTACTTGGATCCAGATACTGTGTGCTCTTATGTGCTGATATTCGACATTTGTATTAATATGTATCTTGCTTAGCTTTTATTTCGCATGTGCTATCTATGTATTAATACATGTATGTGCTGTCTGTATGTCTGTGTTGTATATGTATCTGATGTTATTACATGTATATTTTGTTATTTAATATCAGTCGGTTAAAAAGCTCTTAAGAGCTCATGTTCCTTATTATTATGTATATGTTAGCGGCAATAACAAAAATTAGGCATTAAGGTTAAATCCTAGGCAATAAGGTAAAACCTAGGCATTAAGTTATTGCCTGAAATTTTCAGGCATTAAGTTTATTTCCTGAATTATAATGATGACTATTCAGCCTATTGCAAAACATCACTTCAGGCAATAAGTGAATTTTAGGATTTTTTTTAAATCTTCCAATTAAATATACAATCGATAAGATGTTCTTGATTTAAAATATTTTTTAAATTGTATTCCAAATATTGATATACACTTGGTCATTTTATCCGAAGAGTTCAACAGTAGAGGACAGGTTGATTTAATGGATTTCCAATTAAACCAAAATGGAAGCTATAAATGTCTTATAGCATACCAAAATCAACTTACAAAAGTTTTTAACATTAGATTTTGTACGTCAAAATGTGCTTAAATAGAGGTGACTTTTGTTTTAATTAAGGGTTTCATATTTTTAATGTTTTTATTTTTTAGCGCGTCCCATAAACTGCATTATCACAATGGTCGTGAATTTACAGCTTTGGTTATACCAGAGTTTAAAAATAAAGTGGTCAGAACGGGTGACTTTATTTCAAGGAGTTGACATTTTAAACTTCTGATCAGTTCTTATCATGTTATTATATACCAAATGTGTTTTAATTTTGAACAAATGTTGTTGTTTTTTTATTTATTTACTCGCATTTACATTTTAGGCATTAAGATTAATGCCTGGACACATTTTTCATGATTTAAGCTTAAATCCTAGGATTTAAGATTAATGCCTAACACTATTTAGGCAAAATACAGTTTCAGTTATATTGATTTTGCTTTAACACGCAATATTCCTTTATTTCATACCTTTATACCTTTATCTTCGGGTCCTTAAAATAAGCCAAAGGCTTCTGACCCCTCATCTTGGATTGTCGTAATGCAATTTCTCCTCTCATAATAATCGCATAACAATATATATATATATATATATTATACTTATAAAATAGAACTTATTTATATATAAAGGTGTGCGCAGCTTAACAATTAACATGAACATATAAACTTATACAGATTCCAATTCTCGGCATTTAACGCCGACTTAAAATTATTCAAAGTCTTTGTCGTCACTGTTAAATCTGACAGGTTATTCCACTGATCCACTACTCTAATTGAAAAAAGTATTTAGTCTATGTGTCGTCTTACACTGTTTCTTAAAGAGTTTTAAGGAGTGACCTCTAGTATTATTAGATGGTGCTAAAGTAAATAGGCTCATCCAGTTTATATCATCTATACCATGCAACGCTTTATACACTTGTATCATATCATTTCTATCCCTACGATATTCCAAGGTTGGCAATCCCAATGAGCGTAATCTATCTTCATAACTTAAATGATTTATATTCTTTACGAGTTTAGTTGCCCTTCTTTGGACAGATTCCAATTTACGAATATCTTTTTTAAGGTGCGGAGACCAAACACATGTAGCATATTCCAACAGTGGACGAACAATTGACTTATAAAGAGTAAGAAACATATCCTGGTCCATGTAGTCCGAGGCAAAGGAATGATGAATAAGTGATAAAACTCTCTGCGCTTTATAGTACTTATATGTTTTTCAAACTTTAAATTTGACTCGAAAGTTACTCCAAGATCCTTTTCTTCGTTCACCTTAGATAACGCAATAAAATTTTCTGTATCATCCAACATGGTATAACGTACGATATTGTTGATCATTGTCAGGATTAATATGTAATACTTTACATTTAGCAGCATTAAATTTCAATTTCCACGTATTTGACCATTCACATAAACTGTCCAAATTTTCCTGTAACTTACAGCGCTCATTATCTGACTAGACTTTAGAATATACTTTACAATCATCGGCAAAAATTTCATATGGCAAAATTTGGGGTAATTTGCTAATTTGCATAGTGGCCATTTTGCCTTATCATGACGGCAGCCATTACAATAGGATTATATAAGCCCTTTTAATAAAAATGCCAATATGCAAAAATCTATGTCGAATGAACAATTTGTTCGCATATAGGTGAATTGTACATGTTTTTAGGCTTCTGTCCGGCCTTTTTAGTTTAAAAATCGGAAGCGTAACCATTGTGTAATTGCTATATAAGATCAAATAAAATGACGTAAAATCGTAAAATAGCAAGATTCAAAACAGAAGTAATTTGATCAAAAGGGACAAAGTCTCGTGGTGCAAATGATTTAAATAAAGTACCTTTGATTTTGCCATATGTTCACTATGCCCTTTACTACATCAGGAAGGTCATTTATAAATGTTACAAAAAGAACAGGTCCTAGAATAGTCCCATGAAGTACACCACTCACAACATCTGACCATGCTGAAGTTGTATTATTTATACGAACACATTGCTTACGCCCGGATAGAAAACTTTTTATCCAATCCAAAATGTGTTTTATATCATGCTTTGTTTGTAAAACCAGGTTTCCATTCTTTTGATGTGTTAAAGCTGTTGATTTTTCCATTTGATAAGTGACTTTTCGCTTTGAATTTTCTTGGAGTTCGGTATATTTGCTATTTTAATTTTTGTTTGTTTTTGGATTTCTTCAAAACCAATACAAGATCGGTTTTTACATTAAAGTTTTTAGCCTTACACACTTCGGTCACATGATTAGAAAATGGTGGATGATTTTCAAGGATTGTTACCCGTAACTCTATCACACATGATTGAGGGTTGACTGTGTGCTACTTATTACAGTCACAAGAAAAACACAAACGTAAGCCCAAGATAGGGTAAAAATTAGTGAAGTATCTTTAATAGTTCTTCTTATCGAAGATCAGTCACCGTCAGAAATACAGTCTCAAACTGTTTGATTTTCTTCTTCTCCTTCCAACAGTAGTCCAATAGGGATCACCAACAGGACCAAGTAAAACGTAGCCTATCATTTGTGCTTTTAAATTGTATATGCTTCGAATAATTATAACATATTGTGGTCAGTAAAAAAAAAACAATAATGTGTCCACGGTACACGGATACACGGATGCCTCACTTGCACTATCATTTTCTATGTTCAGTGGACCGTGAAATTTGGGGTCAAAACTCTAGTTTGGCATTAAAATTAGAAAGATCATACCATCATAGGGAACATTTGTACTAAGTTTCAAGTTGATTGGACTTCAACTTCATCAAAAACTACCTTGCCCAAAAACTTTAATCTGAATCAGGACAGAGAGGCGGATGAACGGGCTCACAGACCAAAAAAACATAATGCCCCTAAGTGGGGCATAAAAATGAAAAACAACAATTATAAATTTTATGCGTTCAAAGCGCTTTTCTGGATTTACCTTCATCAGTAACATGCTATAACATGTGGATTATCCGATAGACATAACTTCTAGTGGACACTCTGCATTGATTTTGGGGATATTTTGCTTTGCAGCATCATTGGAAACTATTATAGGGCTCGACATTACCGTTTGTCCGATTGTCCGGGACAAGTGGACACAGGCGTCGGGCAAGTAGATTCACCATACTACTTGTCCGTCAGGACAAGTGAAAAATCGATGTCAGATGTAAAATAAATCAAATTCAAGACTTATACATTCCCAAAAAATTGAATGGTTGTTTTATTGATCATACAAAAAGAAATAAATATCCATTGATTGAACGTATTTTAATATGCTTGCAGCGGCTGACCAGGGGAATATACGTAAGGGGGTAAGGGGGAAAGAAACCAATGTTAATGCTTCTTCATAGTATAAGCCTCCTTGAATTAGGAGCACCTCCATGTGGAGTTTTACCTTAACTTTAAAATTTTAAATTAAAGTATGTTTCATTTGATTTTGCTTTTATGCATAACAATACATTAAAAGAGGTTTTATTTAATAAGATCTATGTATTAAAATAATAAGTAAAGATGTAAAAATTAAATAAAATCTAAAAAGGCAGATTTTCTCAGTGAAATAATTTATGTACTTCATGATCATGTATCAATGTATATCATGTATATAAAAATCAAAATAAAATTATAAAAGATTGTTTTGCTACCATCAATAAATTAAAAAGTCAAAAAAAGGCTGAATTATATACAAGGTGGCCAGGTGTATTTACATCCTTGGTTTAACCCATACCACTACTACAGAATGAATAGGTCCATAGCCTTAGGAGAACCTAGTGATTTGGGAAGTGATGTCATCATGATTTAATGATCGACACATGATAGTGACATTGAGTCAGAGAACTCAGTCTTGCAAATAATCTTTCAGCATGTTCAGCCTGAAATAATGAAAATGAATTTTTATGTGGTATTCTTTTAAAATTAGTTACAAACAAATTCATATAACATAACAAAATGCTCCCATCATTTGGTACAATCAATTAAGCTCAAGTATTATTAGTGCATTTCATCAATATGTTAGATTTTCAATTATAAATTCGGACAAGTGAGTTAAGAGTTCGGACAAGTTGATTTTCTTGCAACTTGTCCGAAGGGACAAGTTAGAAAAAATGATAATGTAGAGGCCTGTATTACAGTACAACCTGTGAAAATCTCTGATAAATGGTGGCCATAAAACAGTGTTCTCCCAAGGCCCACAAAGCACCACTGACTTGCAGTCCTATAATTTCTGAGTGTGGTCCTATCAGTCTTTGCACTGCCCTATATATGTAGCACCCTAAAGTGCGATGGTCTGCGCTAAAGTGCGATGCCTCCATACGCTATAGTCTGATGGTCTGCAAAAGTATAGACGTAGGAAACGTAGTTGGATTATGACGTTAACAGTCGTTTATACAAACCAAAAATGTACATGCTGGAAGATGAATTAAAATGTTTGATTAACTACTTTTAAACCAAATGTCCATGACTTTATTTCAAACCTAACTGTACATGTGCTTTGTCTGCTGAAGCAAATGTTGTTGTTTTTTTGCGGGTGCTGGAAGAAGGACTTTACAATGTGTCCTGCAGTTGACTATTTTACTATATAAATACAAAATAGTATACGCATAGGTATCCTGTATCCTGCTTCTATTGGAAGCGAACGGATACATTTGATTAAATCATTGTTTACGTTGCAGTTTACTTTGCGGTCCCCGTTAAAATATTGTCGATTTTATTGAAAAGTAACATCGGTAAAATAAAGGTACATGTTTTCAAGCGTAAATTATAACAGAGTTTGTATATTGTAGGAAAATATAACATGTATTTGTACTTGCTTCGAAAAAGGAGGAAGCTCAGCGAACTTCGCCTTTCTCTCGCATTTACATTAAAGCTTGTACAAAAAAAATGTTACTTATATTCCGACAATGAACGAATTTTGTATTTGTAATTTACAATGAAGACTGTAAGGGGAGGTGTTCAGATTATTGATAGACTGTGTGAATGGCAAGCTACACCAATTATCCAAATATTTAATACCCCCGAATTGTTGAAAAAAAAACATTTACAGGAAATATAGTGACATCTACAATCCAAATTTGCAAATATTATCGGGTCAGTTTTCTAAATTTAGAAACAATCATGTTAGCATGGTTAGTCTACCTGTAAATTATAAAGCCTGTCACATATGTTATACCTGAGTAAACTAGCTTTTGAAAAAAATACCATTTTTTAACATCCATGTACTTTAACGTTTTAAGCCCTCGAACCTTAGGCCAAAATTAAAATTAAGTTTGTTTCCCCTTACCCGACCGACCCTCTAAAAATACGCCGACTGAAATAATTTTTTTCGAAAATCATGTTGTTGTTTTTTTTTTTGTCTTTTCGCTCAAAAGTTCGTATTTTAATTTCGTTTCCTTGAATGGTCCGTATTTTCATCATTCCGCGAAATCATTGTCGCCCGTGTGTTTGCAGCAAAGGGTAAACAACGTAGGCAAGGATACTGAAATTAGAATGGAATAATGTTTTAAATAAATGCATCCGAGCAATCGTAACTACTGTTCCATTCTAGCTACGCCTCCAATAACAAAATGCGTAGCGAGAATGGCTGAGTAGTTACGATTGCGCATCCGAGCTCACCCTTGAGCTTAAATGTTAGGCCCGGTGTTTCTGCCGTGTTTGTGGTAAATCCCTGAGTTCGCCTTCATCACACTACAAACCAGTAAAAGTCTGAAATGGCCTATATCTGTACTCGACTGTACTGATTTTTACTCGACCAGTCTGAATTGGTCTGAATTTTACTCGACATTACTCGACCCCAGTCTTAACCATACTCGACTGTACTGATTTGTACTTGACCCTTATCTTTGCCATTGAAAATAGTCTGAACTATTACTCGACCAGTCTGAAACAGTCTTAACCAATTCTCGACCTGTACTCGACCAATTTTTTCAGTCTAAACCATACTCGACCAAAGGTCTGAACAATACTCGACCAGTCTGAACCATACTTGACCAAAAAACCTATACTTTTTTTTAATTTTAGCTGTTAAAATTAATTTCTTTTTTTCTGACATGACAACAGCCATAATAAAATAAAGATATATATAAAAACATATTTTTACATCCTTACATGATTCTCAGATTTATCAAATAGAGATAGTTAAATTAAATTATCTTATATAATAATTTAATTATATTAATTTTAAAGTTTCAGAGTTTTGTTAAAAAAAAGATTTTCTTTTAACTAAAAACCACACCTTTACTGAGGGTAATAAAACCTTATTAAGGTGCTTCTTGTTTGGCATGTGTTTTTTTTTTTAAACTTCATTTTCCTAAATTCCTAAAGAAAAACTATATAGGTTTCATGGTTACATACAATAGTTATATAATTATCTTTTTAATGAGGTAACATCAGCCAAAAAATCACTGAAATTGTTTAACCTTATATTAGAAATATATCTATTCTTATTATAATTTGGGATACATTATATATAATATATATCAAGAAGGGATAAAAAAATTAAAGAAATAGATAAAATTTTTCTTCTGATTAGTGGTAAAGTATAAAGTAATACCTCCTGCTTGGGGCAAACTCATTAAAAAGATCACACCTGGTTAGAGAGTATTAATTTCTAATTAACATTCATTAAAAATTGCCATATCCTGTAAAACTTAAATCGCAAGGCCTTTTGATTTCACTAGATAAGTAATACACGAGTTTAAGAAAAAAGGGCTTTCTTTTTACCTGTAAAACACACATGTACTGAGGTAAATAAACCTTATTAAAGTGCTTCTTGTATGCCATGTCTTTAATTTTGACAAAAGTTATTTAAATTTAATTGAAATAAATTTTTTCTGCAACTTTGGAACACATTTCCTTTTTTAAATGGTTATCAAGGATTGCTATGGAAGTTCTATTATCATGATTATATTAAATTCTTGGTTTTACAAAATAAGGTGTTATTTTTAAAATTTATTAAGTTGCTTTATATACTATTTCAAATATATTTTAATAAAAAAAAGTGCACATTATTAACTTAACTCAACTGACACCATAAATCTATACAAGGCTTAAGTAAATGGTGAAAATTGTCCAGTAACCATAAAATATATCTGAAACATTCAAAAATTTTTAATAACATTAAAAATATTAGTCACAATTCAGTTTTGAGATTATTTGATCAGCTTGTTTTATTTTTATTTTTAAGGTGATATATATATGTAAGTGTTGATAAATATGGTGTTGAATTTATATTATGTTTATTGTGAAATTTTGGTTTCAATGCCATATTGAATACATTTTAAATTTCAAATTGTTGTTCAAATTTCTAGCCAGGGGAAATAGCTGTTAAAAACAGTTCCTAAATTGATGAAATACAATAGATAGATACAAAAATTAGGTCTAGGTTGGTTAAGACTTAGTCGAGTATGGTTCAGACTAGGTCGAGTATGGTTCAGACTAGGTCGAGCATGGTTCAGACTAGGTCGAGCATGGTTCAGACTAGGTCAAGCATGGTTCAGACAAAAATAAAATGGTTAAGTACAGGTCGAGTACAAGTTCAGACTGTTAAGTATGGTTCAGACTACAGTCGAGTATTATCAAGTAAATTTCAGACCAATTCAGACTGGTCGAGTAAAAATCAGTACAGTCGAGTACAAATATAGGCCATTTCAGACTTTTACTGGTTTGTAGTGTCAGTGGTTGACTCAATAAGTTGTATATTGGATCGCTATTTATGCTATTTTGTTTCATTTCGTATGTGATATTGGACCATACACCAGTTGCCTTTGGATAAAATAGTAGTTGATTTTTTTTCGAGCTCAGTATCATATTGTGTTGTGAAAAGTCGAGATGACTATACCAGCTAATGCTTTGATAAAAGTTCTTGTAAGTTCTTATGTCTTTTATAAGTTATAATGCCTTTAATGGGCTGATGATTAAATATGGTCACACATTCAGGGTTTTGTGAAATAAGATGCCAGTGTTTCATTATTATATTTTTAGTTTCTGTATAGATGGGTTGAATTTTGTTAACATTACTACATTACATACTGTTTTGCTGGGCGATGTGTTAGCAAGTTTTCCCTTTCTGTATTTTGTGTTTGATAAAAAAAATCGTTGATTTCAGATATTTGATATCCTTGTTTGAGCGTTTTTTTAAGATCAGTTTTGCTGCTTGTGTTTCTGAGATACCTCAATACTTCACCCTTGATAAATCCTTTCAATGAAAACACTTTTTGGGTGTGAGCTGTGTCTGTGCAGATATTGATATGTTTCATTTGGTTTGATATTGGTTTTAATGTCTTGTATCATACTACTCCTTCGTTAAAGAATCTTTCTCCTTTGTATAATTATGACAGTGTATAAGAATATTGTTTCATTACAGGAAAATTCGTAGGTGAACTTCAACTATCATTATCATTTTGTTTCTCTGTGTTGAAAGCGTTGTAAAATGTGTTAAAGAATTAACAAACATTGTAAGGTCTGCTAACTCAGCGAATGCTGATCCGCACATAGGCACGCCCAAGGGTTCATGGTAAAGTTTATTGGTAAAAATAAATTCTTAGTTTTCTAGAATAAGCCTTAATAGGCGTTGTCATACTTGCTTGGATCAGGGTTTGTGGCTTCTAGTATTTCCTTAAATGAAAAACAAGTGTACATATTTTTTGCATCGAATGTTTCTAGGTAGCAGTCTCGTTGGGGTTTTATATTTTCAATTGAATTAATAAAACTATAAGAAAAATATAGAACCGTGTCTCAATTTATATGTGGTCTACTCTAAGTCACAAAGACATTGATATTTATTAACATTTTCTAGTCTAGAAATTGTAAGGTCTTCTAGTCATGCATAATACGTTATACAGTATGTTGTTTTAGTATCAATAAAGTTCAATTTGTTGTTTTTCTGTGTTTTCCTGTGTGTTAGATATATTTCAGGGATTTTCTCTAAAAAAAAAAAAAAAGCCTACCTACCTACCTACCCACTTCCAAAATGGTGGGTAGGGTAAGGGGAAACAAAGATATTTTTAATTGCGGCCTTACCTTATTGGTCCATCGCACTTTAGTTTAGCGTGATATACCATTGTACTTTAGCAAACAAACAACCATCACACTTTAGCGTTAGACACCATGGTACTTTAGCGTAGACCATCGCACTTTAGCATGACCATTGCACTTTAGAGTACCATCGCATTTTAGAGTCCTACATATATATTTCTGTTCCGTGGTGTTATAATTTTTCCATGAAAAATTGTTTAATTGTGACTTGTTAAATCTTATCTGTGTGGTATAAAATTAAAGGTGAAATATAACCAGCATGTTGATAGTTACAACAGGTGATTGATTAAAATCATTTACCTGGTGAGAGGTACCTGCAGCTGTTGCTGATTGGATTTAATCAGTTAATTGGTACTCGTAACTTGTTTATTTTGTGTTTTAATTAATATGAAGATAATTTATGACTTCTATCAACAATTTTATGGCTTCACCCACCACCCAAGCATAGACCAGTAATGTAATCGGAAATTTTAATTTGGACACTAACAATGACGATAATATATTATTCTAAAGCATACCATGTACAAACATGACAAAAAATGTATGGAATTTTTTGTTGCATTTTTCAATAGAAATGCAAATAAGAGCTTCCTGAAATTTGTTATCATAATAATTGGTTTTCAGATTCATTTCTCTTCATCAACTGCCTGATTAATTGAATACTTTATTCACCCTAGTTTCCTCTAATGTGACCTACCTAATTAGACTTATCAATGGGTTTGTAGTTACATGAGCAACACAACAGGTGCCACATGTCGGACAGAATCTGCTTCCCCTTCCAGAAACCAACTCCAGTTTTTGGTAGGGTTTGCGTTGCCCAATCTCCAGTTTGTGTTTTGTGTACTGTTGTTTGTCTTTTTGTCATTTTCATTTTCTGCCATAGCAATGTCAGTTTGTTTTCGATATATGAGTTTGAATATTCCATTCGGTATCTTCGGCCTGTCTTTTAAAATGGGATATATATCATTAATTATCTCAGAGTTCTATTTGTGTCTTTTCAGACTTAATAAACTCCTGCTTACTTGTATAATGCTGTGATATAATACGCAGACAGCATGTGAATACATTTCAAGACGATTTGACCAGTAACCATGACAACAGAAACCGATTCTCAGAGGGTTCTTCATACACAACCTATTGATATTCAGGAGAGTGGTCGTAAGTTTTTTTAAATTTAAAATGATCACATGGAGTCATGGACAGATTTTGGAGAAGACTTTCTAGTTTTCATTTAATTTTACTTGCAAGGCTATCATGCCCTCTAGTCCAATCTATTTGTTATGGGATGAATGCGGCAGTGCATATATATTCTGATTTAAAAATAAGAAGTTGTGTTATGATTGCCAATGAGACAACTAGCCACCAAAGTTCAATGAAGTGGTTGTAATTAAGGAATGATTGTTTTATGAACGGCAAACCATATATTTTAACTCTGCTTTGTTTAAAGTTTGAATGTCAAAAACAAAAATCTAAAATAATAGTGATTAAAAAATAGATCTGATTTTAATCTTGACCAGGGATGGGGTAATCGTAATCTGTAATCGTAATCAATTGTAATTGATTACATTTTTTCCAGTAATCGACAGTAATCTGTAATCGAAGACATTTTCGATTACAAGTAATCGTAATTTAATCGATTACAGCAAAAATTATGATGTAATCATCGATTACTTTTCGATTACATTTCGATTACTTTAGTAAAATAGTTTGATGAAATATAACCTATTTTAAATGAAAATATGTAAGCATTCATCACTTTATAGTACAGATAAAATAGAATGTATTAAAAAGTCTTCAGAGTTTATCAAATGCCTTATTTGTTTCTATTGTCTATAGCTGCATTATGATCAACCAGATCTCCTACCAAATTTTACTGTATATAATCAGCTTTGAAACAATTGACTTTACTGTCTTCAATGCTTATCAATAATTTAAAGACCTTTTATTTTGAAATAAGAAAATAGATTAAAATAAGAAATGAGTCTTGTGTTAAGTTCTGTACTACATTGACATTGAAGCTCAGTTTTCAATAAGAGTTGGAATTTTAGCTAGAACAGATAAACAGTTGATTCGTCATAATATTATGATATAAAAAATTAGAAAGTTCACAAAATCCTTTTGACAATGTACCAATGACTATGCATTGAAATTCTTGTTCAGAAATAGGTACATGTATCCCATTTTGACACTAAAAATATATATTGTTTATAATTTTGAATAGAGCATAAAAAATTCTCAACTGACTTCTTGTCTTTACTAATCAGATGATCAAGGACTTCTAATCAATGACATGCCAACTTTGTTTTTGATTTCAATTATGTCTAATTAAGAGGAGATTTACATTATATTGCCCCAGGTTATAAAATATACCCTATTGGCAGTTTTATAACCTGTAATTAGGGAGGCTATCCAAACAACTGGATTAATTCATGCATGTATTAATTATAAATATTATAAATTTACATCTTTAAAATTAGCTGAACTAGTTAATTATTCTACTTTTTGATATTTTTTTCAGAGGAATCTTCTAACATTGTAATGAACTATATTCAAATATACCTGTTAAAAATGAGTAAATACAAAATACCTTACTTAAGTCAGTATGACAGCAAAAATTTGCAAAACATGGAGAAAATAACCTAAAATGTAAAGAATTGACCGAAGCCATGCCATGTCATTGCAAGAAATTTATCACCACTCACCCATGTTGAAAACCAAAATTTCAAGAATTTTTGAATATTTCGGATCCTCAGTAAGAGCTTCCATCTAGTAAACAACTGTTAACTTAACATTTCAAAACAATGCTTTAAATACTGTTTTTATAAAGGTCTAAATTTCCACTATACATACGTTGAACAACATATTTATGTTTAACTTACTTTTTTATTTTTTGGTTATATTGTAGCATGTAATTGACAGTAATCGAAAAAGTAATGTAATTACTTTTGATAAAGTAATCGATTGCAATCGATTACATACAAAAATCAGAGTAATCGATTATTAATCGAATACACAAATATCCTTCAAGTAATCGATTATTAATCGATTACATTTGTCAGTAATCGTGCCCATCCCTGATCTTGACTTGCTTCCTGACAGGATAAGTTAAGATCCTTTATTTACAACAGTTTCTTAATTTACTGTTGTTAAGGTCAGTGCAGTATACGAAAATTATTTTTACCTTCAATGATCAGAAATCACATTTTATCAAAATGATGCAACACCTTAAAAGGGTTACTTTTATTTAGGATTGCCCTCTTTTATAAAATGAAATTGGATTTTTTTAAACTTTGATAACGATTAACAAAAAAAATATTTTCAAGATGGGTATTAAAATAAAAGTTGTACAGATCATGTCTCAATCAGTTTCAGATGACCTGACAGAGTTGGTCCAAGATCTGTCACCTACATCCCAAGCCAGGACTGTACTTTTATTACAAAGTCTTAGAAAGAATGAGGGTGAGTATCAATATATGAATATAGAGTCAAAATAGTATGATTATTTAGTTTTTTATGTCCCCGCCGTAGCGGTGGGGGCATTAAGTTTTACCCTTGTCCGTCTGTACGTACGTACGTCCCAAAATTGGTTTCCGTTCTCTAACTTGAGTTTGCCTTTACTTTAACCATTCTAGAGTTATGCCCCTTTATAAATGGAAAAATTGCAAAATTTTTATTTTCTTCTAAATATCAAGTAATTTTTAAAATTGGAGTTATCTTCCTTTGTCCATGATTATAGTTGAATCAACTACAATCAATGCTTTATACAATGCAATGTTTAATTTTGACTTCCAATGACTTCCACAAGTTGAATTTGGGTAGTGTCACTTTAACCATTATTGAGTTATGCCCCTTTATAAATCAAAAGATTGCAAAATTTTTAGTTTCCATTCTGTAACTTAAGTTTGCCCCAACCAAACATTATGAAACCTATACACAATATTCATTACCACAAAACTAAGATCAAGTAGAAATTTTTTGTTTCTGTTTCTAACTTTAGTTTGCCTCAACCAAATGTTATGAAACTTATACACAATGCTTATTACTACATAATACAGATTAAGTACGAAATTTGGTGGCAACACTTTTACCATTCTAGAGTTATGCGTGTTTACAAATAGAAAAATTGCTGAATTTTTAGTTTCTGTTCTCTACTAAAGTTAGCCTCAACCAAATGTTATGAGACTTACACACAATGCTTATTACCACAAAACTCAGATCAAGTTCAAATTTTGGTAGCGTCACTCTTACCGTTCTTCAGTTATGTCCCTTTATAACTATATGATATGCAAGCGGGGGCATCATCTGTGTCCACATGTGGACACTATCTAAGTTTATTTAAGTATGTGGAGACTTAAAATAATTCAAAATGTTGAAAGAAAACAAATATTTCCATCACACTTTTCTGCAAAACTATTGAAAAGAGTACTTCATATATGGTTGTCAAATTGAAAATGATGGGTTGTATTGGTGAGTGCTGTTAAGACCTGTGGGTCACCTACTCCCTGTTTGCCAATACTTTGAATTTTTCAACAGGTTGAATGACAAATGAATGAAATCAAATGTTTCTTCACACTTTTTTCAAAAACTATTGAACTGAAGGACTTAATATTTTATCATATATGGATCCGAGATATGCTTTGCACGACACTATTTGCATTCTTGTTTTTTTTTTTAATGTTGTATATATATCAATAAATCTATCCAATCAGCATACTGGAATAAAATGTCTTTTTCATAATTTAAGGAAAAGAATGTAACTAAAGGTACTGGTATATATATAATACACTTGTATATATGTTATAATCAGTTAACTCCTACAAACTAACATCATTGTACATACATGGGATTGGATCAAGCAGGCCAAATGTGGCAGACTAATGGTTTATATATTCATCAATTTGATATGGTAAACCAATTTATTCTTGTGACTTTCGCAAGTAGAAAAATAATGCAAATATAAATCGTTACAAATATGTGAAACTTAAATCTTTCCTTATTTAACTATATCAAGTAAATTTTAAAATCGCGAAATTAAAACACCACAAAGTGGGCTAGAAAGGGCTAAATGCGAAATAAAGTATCCACTAAAAAAAGATTGGGGTTACAGCAAAAAGAATTAAAAATCTTACCACAGAAAAATAGATTTTATCTATGTCTGTGCTTTTGTAAAGAATATTTAACAAGGGGTTAGATACAAGCTAAATGTTTAAGTAATTTTAATTTGCTTGTAAAAGTTTTCATCTCATACTTCAAAAAAAAATAATTGCCACTAGTGGTTAAGCAATCAAGAAATAGCAATGGATGCTAAAAAGTTAATCATGTTGATAGATGTAATCAATTTCATTTCAACAATTATAATATAAATGAGATTTTAATGTGGCGATTAATTTTATTTTCTAAAAACTAAATTTCATAGAAAATTAATTAAAGCTTGAATTCATTCATCAATTTTCTGTGTTTTATTTTGATTTTTCTTGCTGGGAACACCTTATTTTTGTGGAAAGGCTCATAAACAGACACATATTCTATTTACAAAAGACAACCATATTACAATATTAGATCTCCATCATTTGTCAATTTAAATGCATTTCATTTAATTTTGTGAACAATTTATCAGGAATAATTATGCTATACATTGACAAAATTTTTAATGACCTCTCGTGTTTTTATCTTAAAACTTAACACTTTGTGAACTACATGCAGATGTGGTTTTTTTTCTAAAAGGGTCAAAAGGAGGTTATATAACCTCCTTGGTCAAACATAATCATGATAATGTTTGTGATTCTTCACAGTGCTGTAACAGAAACATTTTTTTATATTTTCTGTTTTCGCTACAAAATTAAAAAAAACCCAAACTGACGGATATAAAGTGATTACTATGTCTAAATATCATAACATTGATAAGATTTGAATTTCTCAACAAATCTGTATAATGACAGTTGCTAAATAAAAATGACTTATATATATCTCATGTACATGAAGAAAGCTGTCATTTCATGCTTTTTATTATTCATTTTAAGTAATGAATAGATATATATATTTCTCTAATTCTTCGTCAATTTATCCCTTTCTGCACCCATTGTATACAAAAATTTAATCAACGTGTGGTTCGTTTGATCTCAGTTCTTCATCGGTTAAAATCCGATTATGATGTCGAATTTACTTGCTTTCCTCTGAATTTCCTATTGTGACGGCATGAAAAAAGGCTACCATGCCTGATGACGTCACATAGAAAGAACACAGATCATTCGAAAAGACGGAATAAATTTGCCTGCATATTGTTTGAAAATCATTAGAGAAACAGATTCCACCACCAAATCTTGTGTAATACAATATTTATCCACTCTCGACATTTAAATTTTAAAATTTAACTGACTCGAGCGGATAAATATCGTATCACACTCGATACAGTGGTAGAATCTATATGTATACATGTTATCATCACTGACTTCCTAGAATCAATATGAAAATATTCATAAATGATTTTCAGATGATTCAAATGCTTGTATAATTAGTAACACTGTAGCAATTTCATACATGGTTAAACATATTATAAGAATATGACATAATCTTTAGATATCACATGTACAGTAGGTTAACAGTTTCTTTAGAGTAATACTCGACAATCTTTCATAATACATAATCTGTATATTGTTGTGGCTCCAAAATGGTAATATCTGAACTGCGACCTTGGAGGGTTTGCCTGGCGACCTTGCGACCTGACATCTCATTTAAAAGGACCTGTACCTAACAGCATAGGACTATTTTGTCATTTCCGCTTGTCCTTTACAGGCAACCAATATAAAAATAAGGAGATCCACCAGATGTCAAATGACGAAGATAAAAGAAATTAAAGGTCACTGTATGGCCTTCAACAATGAGGAAAAATCATACCATATAGTCCCCAAGTCTATTTTTATGCTTTGTTCTAAACCAACATGCTTGATTTTATGTGCTAGCTTTATGAGACAGCAGTTCCCAAGAAAGTTTGTCACAAAAACTTGACACTCTTTTTTCTGACTTTGAGTTTACTAGTCTTCACCTACTCTTTAATGTCACATTCTTAGCAGAGAAGTTCCAAATACCAATTTTGAAGTTTCAAGTTTATTTAAGTTCTATTTCGTTTGATTGATTGATTGATTGATTGATGTTTAATGCCACTTTCAACACTAATGTGCTATTTCGTGTTGGTCAGTTTTTATTGGTGGAGGAAGCCGTAGAAAACCACTGACCTTCGTTAGGAAAACTGACAATCCTAGTCAATTAAGATTGCACCTGCCAAGTGAGGGATTCAAACTCACAACCCCAGTGTTGACAGGCTAGTGATACAGTAGTTCGACTACTTAGACCACTTGGCCACCAAGACCCCTTTTAAGTTTGACCCATCATTCAATTATTGAACTTGATGTGTAAGAATCCATTAAGGGTGAAACACAGTCTATGACCTAATGTAAATCACTGTAGCCTACATTTCCTGCCCAGTAATTTGAGTAATTTGTTACAATGGACTCAAGTTATCTGACACCAGGTAATCTAAAATCATATATCTTGGTATAAGAATAGTATAAAGAATGCCTCTGGAAGAGTCTAATGACCTCAAACCAAAATACTGTGAGACCTAAAATTATACAACTAAGTGTATACAAAAGCATCTGGAAAACTGCATATGAGCCTGCAACCAACAGAAATAACTCTTTCTGAAAGTAGGTCACTCTGACTTACATTGATTGTTTCATAAGTTTCATGTCATATCAATGAATTGCATTTATTTTTAGCTGATAAGGCATTAGTATCTGAATTTCAAAAATACCTACGCTTCAAATTTTATTAAATAAGGATTTTTCTTATTAAATTTATACTATCGGTGACTTTACAAGCCCCATTATTGATATAAAGAACAATGAAAACAGTATATTTATTTTGAAGTACACAATCATTTTTAAAAAATCATACCAACATCATGTGATATAAGTAAGTGTAATTATATTTCTCTAATTCTTCGTCAATTTATCACTTTCTGCACCCATTGTATAACAAAAATTTAATCAACGTGTGGTTCGTTTGATCTCAGTTCTTCATTGGTTAAAATCCGATTATGACGTAGAATTTTCTTGCTTTCCTCTGAATTTCCTATTGTGACGGCATGAAAAAAGGCGACCATGTCTGATGACGTCACATAGAAAGAACACATCTTTTTGCATATCATTCAAAAAGAAAGAAGAAGTTTGCCTGCATATTGTTTGAAAATCATTAGAGAAACAGATTCCACCACCAAATCTCGTGTAATACGATATTTATCCACTCTCGACAGTTAAATTTTAAATATTTAAAACGCTCGGCAAGCCTCGCGTTTTAAATTTGAAAATTTAACTGTCTCGCGTGGATAAATATCGTATCACACTCGATGCAGTGGTAGAATCTATATATATATAATTTTCTTTGGTGGTGAACATGTACATTGCAGCTTAGAAATGAGTGGCGTGATTTGTATTGATTTGTATTAACTTGCTTTTGAACAAAGGAGCTATAAATGCAATGGTTATGGATTGACTTTAAAAGCCATTATGTCTTAATTTAGACAGAAATTCAAAAACAAATTTCAGAATGTAAATAGTAAAACCTTTTTACCTTCAGACTATGTGAGATGGAGATTAGATTGAAATTGTCATTTTTGTTTTTATTCCATCTACAAATAAGTGTTTGCTTTGTTTTGTTAGTATTACCATAATTTGTTTTGAAGATCTTTTTGAAGCCATTAACGGTACTTTGAACAATAAACTTGATCATTTACATATATAAATGGAGCTATTTCAGATACTGTTCAGCCTAATTTACTCCTGTATTTTACAACTAACAATTGAGAATCTAAACTTTCATCTCATGGTTACAAATTTCTGCTGAATGAGGATAAATTAAATTTTTGTAGATACTCGAGATCTTCGTATTGACCAATTTTGAAAATTTATATCTTGTTGAATACTTGAATTTATAGTTCACCTAAATTCATGTAAATATGCATATATATTCAGCTACGATCCATTCCATTATACATTATTTATAGATTTTTAAAGCATATCTGCGGTATTTTAAATGAAACATAGTTCAGAATTATGATAATGTTGAAATTTATGAAAGAAATATGAAAAATAAAAGTTTAACACTTTTTTATTAAATGCTTTTAGCTGTAATTGGTGTGGATGATCAGAAGAGACCAGTCATACAGTACAAAGACGAAAGATCAAGGTAGAAGTAGGATAATTAGCTTCCAAAAACATATAGAATAGGGAAATGTGGTATGATTAGATTGCCCATGAGACAACTACTGTAAATTTAGAAATTATTACGTGCATTTATTATTGTGAATTTTATAGAAAAGACTAAAATGCGAGATTAATTATTGCGATTTCAGGAAAATCTGCATACAGTTACATCTATTTTACAGTATCCACAGGAGACCAAATAAAAGAAATGACATATATGTTAGATATTGGTCACTGTAGGTCTTCAGTAATGAGCAAAACCAATGCCTCATAGCAAGCTTTACAAGGCCCTGACAAGCCAAAATGTAAAATAATTCATAAAAGAAACCGATGGCCTGATCGATTTATGCACAAAACAACAAAAGAAAAACTTATGGGATATACAGCAACAAATGACACCTATTAAATTACAGGGGAATTTGCAGGCATCCAACACTCTAACCCTCTAACCTTGGACAGTGGTGTAATAGCACAACATTGGAACAAACTGTAAAAATCAGTTGAAAAGGGCTTGACTCATTAGATGGGTACAAAGCATAAAATTGAGGAACAAAATCATGAAAGACACAAAGTACCGATCTGAGTGTAGCAATTTCGCAGCTATTGGTTGATTGATTGATTGATTGTTGGTTTTTAAACACCACCTTCAGCACTATTAGCTATATTGTGGCAGTCAGTTTTTTATTGGTGGAGGAAGCCAGAGTGCCCAGAGAGAATCATTGACCTTCAACAGAAATACAGACAATCCTAGTAAATTAAGAATGCAGTTATTGAAAGCTAGTTATAGTTTGATTGTTCAGGTAGTTCATTTTCTTTGCCATGGCATTGTCAGTTCATTTTCTACTCATGAGTTTGACTTTTAAATTGAGTCTGACTATCCCTTTGGTATCTTTCCCCTCTCTTTTAGTATTATTTTTCTTAATTTTTCTTTATTATTTCTTTTCATAGAAAACTATGGTGGGATGCATCCAATGCCAATATATTAACCAAGCCTCGGTCAGATGATGATGTTCAGGTCAAGATGGACGCCTGTCTGGAAATGATTGATTATCTCAAGAAACATAAAGCTCCATCTGGTGTTGTATTAGACCCAACTCATGTAAGATATATGATTTTACCTCCCAGTTACTTCACCAAAACATTACTTTGGTTGTGGTAGTTTTTTTTATCCAATCTGTATGTGGGAGATTAAATGTCTTTGAAGATTTGAATATTAAGAGTGGATTAAATTGATCCTATAAAGAGTAGTTGTATAGTAGAGTTTTGAAGAATTGTGAATTTCAACAATTTTCTTTAGACTTTAATTATTGGTGTAATTCTGTAAAGCATAATTCTGTCCGGATAAAATAACATCAGGCAGAAAAAATTTTGCATATTGTAAGATTCTTTCCAGGAGAAATTATTACACTTTGAGATATTTTCCATTGACATGATATTTTTACCAGAAAGTTAGTCATGTTTAACGATTTAAATATTGAAAAGTTAATAAAAAACTAAATCTATTTTGATCTGAGTTTCACTGATGAGTCTTATGTAGACGAAACGCGCGTCTGGCGTATTAAATTATAATCCTGGTACCTTTGATAACCATTGCCAATACTATGGACTAATAATGGAGTATTTAAATAAAAGCTAATGTAGTGATTAAAAAACCCAAACAATTGTTTTGCTATCAGAAATAATATCACAGATGTTAATTGTAAAATAATATCCGGAAATAATTTTACAGTAAAATGTCGTACGTTTGAAACAAAAATTTAAGATGGAAAGAATTTCACTCCTCCGGAAGAAATCTACCAGTGAAATACCATGTCTGGAAACTATTTATTGTGACAAATCTTCTGCCGGAAAAAAATAAACTGTAACAATACCACCAATTAAAAGTATGTAACATCACATGCAGTTTCATGTTAAAAAGGGTCAGGAAAAAATCCACATGAATTTGACTGTTGTATGGAAAAAAACCCTCCATTTCATTGCAGAAAAATCCCTTAGAGAACATGTAGTAAATACTTAGTCAGCCGTAAACTTTGAGCTAAGGAAGTACTTCTTTAGCTTAGTCGGTTAGAGCGCTGCCTTGTAACACAGAGGTCTCAGTTTCGAGTCGGAGAGGAGACAAACTGATTTTGTAATTTCAATCAAGCTCTCTGGTTACAATCAGGAAAAAAAAGGTGAAAATTTGCTGTTTTTAATTCCCATGGTAGATTTTTTCTTATATGTAATGAAAATGTTCACTTTCGTACTGAACGGGATAAATCATGATTCATGCTAATTTTTTCTTTATTTGAAATTTGGTTAGCATAGCTAAATTCATCAGTACAATTCTAGTAAGGATCTCTTATCAGACTTCTTTGTACCAATTGTTTCAATTTGGTTAATCAAATAAGAAAATCAACCATCTACACATCAAAAATGGCTGCCAAAGGCAATAAATTAAACTCAAATTATGTCAAATCACAACTAATATATCGAAAAACTGATTGAGACAATTTGTTTTCCTTTTCAGGTTAGTTCAAAAGCAGGTTATTACAGGGAAGGAAGAGAGTTTACAAGAACAAAAGATGTGTTAGGGAAAGGCAACTCTGCTGGAGATATCATTGTTATTAAAGACAAGACAACTCAAACAGAAAGCGCTCATAAAACTGTAAGATACCTAGATTCTGTCTGACTAAAAATACAAGTTTACTACATATATTTAACATTTTTTTTTATTTTTGTGTGTTCTTTGCGATTTGTGGGATACTAATATATATACACCTGTCAAAATTTTGACTGGATGTATTATGGTATACAAATGTCGTCTGCCGTCTGTCTGTCCAGTGTAAACATGTCACACCCTAACTTGAGAACGACTTTTCCAAATTTCATGAAACTTAACATAGTTGTTTCTTATGATGGTCAAACGATCTGTATACTTTTTGGTGAAAATAAGATAAAAACTTTTTGAGTTACGTGACTTAGTAACTAAAACAGGTGTGTGTTTTTTTATACGACCGCAAAAAAATTTTTGTGGTCGTATATTGGTATGACGTTGGCGTCGTCGTCGTCCGGCGGCGGCGTCGTCGTCGTCGTCCGGCGTCGTCCGAAGACACATTGGTTTTCGCACTCTAACTTTAGTTTAAGTGAATGGATCTTTATGAAATTTTACCACAAGGTTCAATACCACAAAAGGAAGGTTGGGATTGATTTTGGGGGTTATGGTAATAACAGTAAAGGAATTAGGGGCCAAAAATAAGCATTTTTGTAACTTCCAGACATAACTTGTGTGTTAGTGTATGGATCTCTCTGACATTGTACCACAAGGTTCCATATCACTAAAGGAATGCTGGGATTGATTTTGGGGGTAATTGCCTCCAAATTTTAGGAATTAGGGGCCAAAAAAGGGGCAAAAAACAAGCATTTTTCTAGTTTCATGACAATAACTTGTGTGTAAGTGTATGGATCTTTCTGAAATTGTACTACAAGGTTCCATATCACAAAGGGAAAGCTGGGTTTGAGTTTGGGGGTAATTGCCCTAAACGTTTAGGAATTTGGGGCCAAAAAGGGGCCAAAAAACACATTTTTTTCTAGTTTCCAGACAATAACTTGTGTTCAAGTGTATGGATCTCTCTGAAATTGTACTGCAAGGTACCATACCTCAAAAGGAAGGCTGGGATTGAGTTTGGGGGTGATGAATCATAATGGGGGTTCAAAAAATTTTGGGGGGGATTTATTTTTTTTTCCTTATTTTTCTTTTTTTCCTTTTTTGTTTCTTTTAAAATTTTCCATTTTAAGTTGGTTATTTCTGATTTATATTTAAACTCAAATAATAATGATATGGTAGGAGATACACACCAAACAGGATGTGTAAGTTATTATATAATAAGTATTGTGCAATAGCAAGAAATTTTCAATTGCACAGTATTGCACAATAGCAAGAAATCTTCAATTGCACAGTATTGTGCAATAGCAAGAAATCTTCAATTGCACAGTATTGCGCAATAGCAAGAAATATCCAATAGCACAATATTGCGCAATAGCAAGAAATTGTCAATTGTACAGTATTGCGCAATAGCAAGAAATATTTAATAGCACAGGATTGTGCAAAAGAAGATACTTCCTATAAATTGCTTATTTCTTGACCAATTTCAATGGGGTTTTATTCTTGATTTCATGGGGTTCTTTAATATGCTGAATCTAACCGTGTATTTAGTTTTTGGATTTTGGGCCCCGTTTTTAAATTGGTCCACATTGAGGTCCAAAGGGTCCAAAATTAAACTTTGTTTGATTTCATCAAAAATTGAATTATTGGGGTTCTTTGATATGCCGAATCTAACTGTGTATTTAGATTCTTAAATTTTGGTTCCGTTTTCAAATTGGTCTACATTAAGGTCCAAAGGGTCCAAAATTAAACTTAGTTTGATTTTAACAAAAATTGAATTCTTAGGGTTCTTTGATATGCTGAATCTAAACATGTTTTTAGATTTTTGATTATGGGCCCAGTTTTCAAGTTGGTCCAAATCGGGGTCCAAAATTAAACTTTGTTTGATTTCAACAAAAATTGAATATATGGGGTTCTTTGATATGCTGAATCTAACCATGTATTTAGATTTTTGATTTTTGGGCCCCGTTATCAACTTTGTCCACATTGAGGTCAAAAGGGTCCAAAATTAAACTTTGTTTGATTTCATCAAAAATTGAATTATTGGGGTTCTTTGATATGCCGAATCTAACCATGTATTTAGATTCTTAATTTTTGGTTCCATTTTCAAATTGGTCTACATTAAGGTCCAAAGGGTCCAAAATTAAACTTAGTTTGATTTTAACAAAAATTGAATATATGGGGTTCTTTGATATGCTGAATCTAAACATGTATTTAGATTTTTGATTATGGGACCAGTTTTCAAGTTGGTCCAAATCGTGGTCCAAAATTAAACTTTTTTTTTTTGTTTGATTTCAACAAAAATTGAATATATGGGGTTCTTTGATATGCTGAATCTAACCATGTATTTAGATTTTTGATTTTTGGGCCCCGTTATTAACTTTGTCCACATTGAGGTCAAAAGGGTCCAAAATTAAACTTTGTTTGATTTCATCAAAAATTGAATTCTTGGGGTTCTTTGATATGCTGAATCTAACCATGTATTTAGATTTTGGATATTGGACCATAATAGGTGAATGTCCAATTTAAAATTTTTAAGTTCTTAGACCACATTCAATCTGTGTTAGAAACCTATGCTGTGTCAAATATTTAATCACAATCCAAATCCAAAGCTGTATCAAGCTTGAATGTTGTGTCCATACTTCCCCCAACTGTTCAGGGTTCGACCTCTGCGGTCGTATCAAGCTGCGCCCTGCGGAGCATTTTATTTCACATGTTGCGCTGTATCTCAAAAACAATTTATGATTATTGCTTAAAACTTTACACACTCCTTAGTTATATTAATCTTAAGATCTGTATACTTTTTGGTTTTGATTCAAAATTTTATTTTAGAGATATTGAGTTTTTTGTAAAAAAAAAAGGGGGTTTTTTGCATGTCGCGCCGTATGTCAGAAAATATTTATGATTATTGCATAAAAATTCACACACAGGATGACGGGCGTATCATGCCCTCATGGCGCAGCTGTTTATTGGTATCTTTTAAATATAGGTGAACCACAATGAAAATCTTCAATGAAATACAACTCTTTATAGACTTTCATGCAGCACTTGTCAAACCACATAATCAAGCGTCCACAAATTTACAATTGAACTTTTCCACAATCCCTAAAAATGTATATCCATGAGAATATTATAAAAATGAATCAATACCTGAGAGCTGTTCAAGAAATAATCATATAGGGAATAGGAACTATTTTTTTTCCTACTTATATTAATCTCTTCATTATATCATCTTAAATATTGGGTATGAGAATGCCTCTACAAATTATTTTATATTTTAGTACAACGTACAATTGTTACTTTTATCCTGCAATTTTAAATTATATGCTTAAACATATAGCTTTTTACTTCCCAAATGTTGAATTTTGAAATAGATATGATTTGAATTAAATTTATATCACCATGTCAGACAGTATGATGTTGTCAACAAATCTGAGTCATTCTTTTTTGATGTCACAAACCAGGGTCCTCGATCATTAAACTTTTACTTCGTACTTGAGTACAAAATTTGTGCTCGAAACACCAAATCCAGTGTTTTGATTGGTTGATTCCTGAGTCTGAGTAGGAATATTATGCTCGAAAGTTTTATGACTGCAAGGCCTGGTATATAATTTTTGATGATCTGAGAAGAATGATATAGATTTCAGGAAATACAACTGGCAAACAAATAATACCTCCAGAAATGTCATATCATAATTAGACTATCATGTGATGAGTAAACCGTTTGAATTACTTATTGAAGAAGCTATATCCTATTCCAAAAATACCCTTTCTCAATGATTTCCAGGTTTTTGTATGCAATATAGAATAAGGTGGTGTGGTATGATCGCTAATAAGACAACTTTACATTAGAGTCCAAACAATGTTTGTTGTTATGACAAATATCCCTGTAAAGTAGTTAGGGCTGTTCCATAAAAACATAGATTAGATCCAAAGAAGGCACTTAAAAAATTTTCATTTTGGGTTTTGGGTTTTTGTCAAATATTTTTTCTATACAATAGAATGGTAAGCTAAATTGTAAAATTTCATCTATAGATGGTTACCCTGTTTTCGAAGTGCCTTCCCTGGGTGCCATTTATGTTTTTATTTAGTTTATACAATTATTTGAATTACATTTATTTTTAATTTTTACATGAGCATGATGAAATATAGCTGTTTGCATATTGTTGGTTTCACATAGACAAAGGTTAAATCATGAGTGAATGAACTATTTGTGTTGTACATTTGTAGATGATGATCTCCTATTTTAGAGAGGAAGAAATCAGGGCATGGGTGGATTTAAGTGAAACAGGAATTCCCCCTGCTCTTTACTGCTTCAAACTTGAGGGCAATAGAATTCATATCTTCATGGAGAAAATAGATAACGGTGGGTACAAGGCACAAAAAAATACATAGTGGATCCATTTATTTTCGTGGATACCAATTTTCTTGAAATGTAGACAAATGTTATGTTGTGGATATTTTGTTTCATTGCTTTGCCAAAGTCTGCATATATGCCTAAAGAAAATTTGTACTTCATTGAACATGTAAATTTTGGCTCTTTTTTAAAGCTTTTTAAAAGACTATTATAAATTGATAGTATATAAATAACAGAATTAAAAAATCAGAAAAAAATGACAGGTTCGTGTCCTTGTTTTTGAGATATAAGCCATTGAAAATTTGGCGTGAAATGATTCTTTCTAGATTTTAATACATTTATGATTGGCACATTCTTTCTTTCAAAAACTATGAAAAAGTAACAGGGATTTTATAATATTTTCAAATATGGTTTTTTGAACTGTATGTAACAAAATTATGAAAAGAAAAGTAGGGGTTAGCGGGCAAAATTTTTAATGGCACTACATGATGGATAAAACCAGAGGATTTCAAATATTCGAAAAAAAAAACTCAAAACAAGAGGAGCAAACATCCTAAGCGGGCAAAATTTTTAATGGCACTACATGGATAAAACCAGAGGATTTCAAATATTCGAAAAAAACTCAAAACAAGAGGAGCAAACATCCTTAATACTCTTATTGGTGTTTCCAAATTAAGATCTTGGCATGCACAGCTTGATTGCTCCCAATATACATGTATTGGTCTTTCCTAAGCCAGAATCTTATCAGTGTTTGTTTAAAGAGATTTATATTGCTAATTAAGGGTATATAAGAATTGTGGGATATGAACCAATGATTGATTGATTGGTGGTGTTAAACACCACTTGTACCACTATTTGCTAAATTGTTGGGGCCATTTTTTTAATGGTAGAGGAAGCTGGAGTGCCCTGAGAGATTTAAATATTATTTCTATTTTTATTTTTATTAACTGTGATTTATGTATCTTATTATATTTATTTTGATAAATTAAAAAAATTAAGAAAATGAATACTTGTATTAGGTTCATACACAAATTAGATAATGGTGATATATGTATTTTTTTCTTATTTTAAGGCATTACTTTACGAGACATAATAGACACACACATGGGTAGCATCAGAGCTGAAGATCCTAACTTAGCCAGACCTTTCTCATTATATGTCTTCCATGGTTTATTATCAGCTGTACATACTATGCATCAGAAAGGATGGACACACAGAGATCTCCATCGTAAGTTGAATGTAAAGAGATTTAAAACAAGCTAGATATACTCTCCATTTGAAATAGAGGCTGAAGATACCAAACAGACATTCAAAATTCATAAGTGGAAGAAAAGCTGATCAAGCCATCAATAATGACAGAAAAAGAAAAACAATGAAAAGATTAACAGGACTATTTATTTGGGTATCAAATAATCTTTTTTTGTTGTATTTCGATGCTTTTTGTGTAAGCATTTTATTACATGTGCAAAAGCTCAAATGAAATAATCTTAGATCATTTCATACATGAGGGTTTGGATGGGGGAAATACAGAATAGAGAAATATGACCAAAAGAAATAAAGAATAGAGAAAAATGAGCAAAAAAATGTAAAGAATAGAGAATAATGGGGTGCAAAAGTATAAAGAATAATGGGGTGCAAAAAAAAAAAATCATGTAATACCGGGGTACTGTACTGATTACAGAAATGAAGGATGTACAGAATAAAGAAATCATCTAATTACAGAAATTTAAATTGTAAAATTATTTTCTTGAGAATTTTACAGAATGAGTGTTATTTTTAGGTACAGAAAAATGTCCCAAAAATTTAGTGAATACAGAAATTAGGGATTCCCCATTCATACCCTTATACATTTTAGATAAGATCTCAGGAGAACACCAGTTACAAAGACAGGATTAAAATTCACAACAAGTTTCAAGATTATTTATTGTTGGAAATCTTATTTTTGTACTGTACAACTTATGTGGCTTGAGCATATATAGATTTTTGTTGACTTTTGATCTGCATGGATATTGAAAGCATGGCATTTAATTTTATACAGAAGTATTACAGTGGATTCATTTATTCTTGGGTACCAATGTTCATGGATTGAGTAAAATTTGCATTTTCATGAATATTTGATTTCATGATTTTGCCAAATTCTGATTTGTATAAGCATATAGAAAATTTTAAATTGTGGTTCACCTTAACCCACGAAATCCACGAAATTTGTATCCCACGAATAATAATGAATCCACAGTATCGTATTTTGAAAAGAAATGACTATGAACTGGATTCTGTATTTTACATAAACGATGAAGCAGTTTACTCTATTTTACAGCTGGCAATGTAATGCTTCAAGAATCTGAAGGTGTTATACAGACCAGAATAATAGATTTTGGTCTAGCCAAGCGCATGGATAGTGAAGATGGTCTGAGAGGGTTCAGATCAGACATTGCTGAAGTAGTTAGAAAATTTACAGCCCTGTATATAGATGAAGAGTTTGACAGTGAAACTGACTTTAGAACGAACTGGAAACATAAATTACAACAGGTATGAAAGTAAACAATAATTATTATAAATTGTGGGAATAAGGCCTTAAAAAGTATACCGGTATGTGTTTCTGCTTACCAAGACTACCTTAATTCTCAGTGCCTAATTTATAGAAGCACTTGTATATATTAAAGTGGGACACTGTTTCCCCTTGTTGAAAACTTTTTAATAAATATAATTATGTGCCTACCTACTGAACCTAATTTTTTTCAGCATATAAGTGGAAGCATAGGTATTATTTTTAGGGCCTTAAGGAAAAATAAAAGGATTGAGAAAATAGAAAATGCAAGAGCAACTGGTAGTTACTATTTGCCTCATACAATTACTGTAAAAGAGGGGCGGCAGATATAAAAAGGGATATTTAAACTCATAAGTCTAAGACAAACTGTCTACCCTATGGCCAAAGACAAAAAAACAACCAAAAGACAAACAACAGTCTATCAAACACAACATTAAAAAACTAAATCCTGAGCAACTCCAACAACCTCCCCCAAACAAAAAAAACAGGGGTGATCTCAGGTGCTTCAGAAGGATAAGATTATAATGAGTCAACTTTAAACACACATAATTGTCAATTGTACAAATGTTAAAACGGGAGTTTTTATGATAAAACAGTCTTTATATTAATTGATTGAGACCAGTGTTATTTTCTTCTTTTTTTTCAACGTAAAGTGGCAAATATGTCATCAGTTTGAGCAGAACTCTTAGGACTTCATCAGTTCCTGAACTAACACAGTCGGGGGCTAAAAACTGACTAGACAAATACTATCATAATATGTCCAACAAAAATATTAAACCAGAACAAACAGAACCAGTGGGAACATCAAGATATTTGTTACATAACTTGACAAAAATAAAATAAGTCTTTGGCAATTCCTATATTTTTATTTTCAGATGGCTGATTTGTATGCAATGAGTAAAGAGGATAAGGTGGAGCTATTCAGTTTGATTGACAGTGCCTTACAAGTTGTCTCTCTGTCCGATGTTCCTAAATTACAAAAAGAATTAGCCACTAAAATGAATTTTGGTAATTTTAATAAATGGTTAAAAGGGATTGGGGTCAAAGGTGTTTAGTACAACGCAATGAACTATAAGCTTACATAGTGTGTACTTATGAATTATAAACACAGTTAGATTTCTCGTTTGAATTGTTTTACGTTTGTCATGTCGAGACCTCTTTTATAGCTTGCTATGCGGTATGGGTTTTTCTCATTGTTGAAAGCTGTACTGTGACCTATAGTTGCTAACTTCTATCATTTGGTCTCTGGTGGAAAGTTATCTCATTTGCAATCATACCACATCACCGTTGAAAAGTATCATTACTATGCTTTAAATTGTAAAAAAAAAAATCGCATAGCTAGACTTAACAGTTATTTTACCATTTTGGAGAATCAAGTGTCACCATTCCTCAGACCCTGGATCCGCCCCTGGAGTAACTATTAAGATTTCCTTCATTCCTTAAATGATGAAACTACAATAATCTTTGTCAACTGTTAAAGTTAAAAGTTATCGCTTGATGAAATGGCTTGATTTAGATTATTTAGTTCTTTCTTAGCAATTTTTGTTGAGCCTGCTACATTTATGTCGCGAAAGCGAGACATAGCTATCCCGTCAGCAGTGGTGGCTCAATCAACATTTATGTTCAGTCTGTAGTTAAAGTTTTTTTTGACATCAATAACTTTATCAAACCTTCATGGAATTTAAGGAAATTTGGACAGAAGCTTGTTAATGCCCAAAAATACAGTATCCAGAGCAGAATTTTGAAAATATTCATTTTCATTCTTCCGTATTTTACTGGTAAATGGACTTATTTTTTTTTTACTGTTAACATTCAGAATCAGTCTGAGGTTAAAGTTTTTCAGTCATCAATAACTTTGTCAAATCTTCATGAAATTTGGACAGTACATGAGGGGAATGACATGCTTTTTGGAGGTGGGATATATGGGGTAAAAACAAGTAGGATCTGAGAAAAAGATACTTGATGATACCTAGCTTAAATAAAGCCATTGAAAAATGTTTAATATTTATCTGATTTTTTGCAGACCCTCAAGGCCTTTCAAAACAAGTTGCCAAAATTTTATTTGCCAAACCAGAATTCCCGTCCAATCATCCAGATTCTCAAGACCTAGAAACTGAGCTTCAGAAAATAAAATTAGTGATGGGTACCAGTAAAAAGACGGGACAAAGTACAATGGACCAAGCTGATAGTGGAGATTTTGTAAGTATTAGATATGGATTATTGTCTGTATTAATTTGTGTGATTACTCATCAACAGATAAGATATGTGATTGAAAATGAAATTTATAGAAATACTGCGTAGAAAGAAGGTTGTTAGAATTCCAAATTTTTGGGTTCTAGAAAATTGATATTTACAATGTATATGGTCATATTTTTCAGAAATAATTTGAATATTGCAAAAATAGAAGTTCACAGCCTATGCACCATAAGACAAACACAATTAACCATATCACCATTTTGGAATCTGTGACAGTTGACCCGAGTTTTTACGACACATGAACTATTGACGTCATATCACAATCACTTTTGCATTGTGGCATCTGACATTTTCTCTTGTGGCATCAACATTTTATGTGAATGTCTGTTATGTCCAGTAATGGTGGATAAATAGAGATAAGGGGGGGGGGGGGGGGAACTCATCAAAGACACTTGGCTTCTAACTTTGTACGCCAGAGGTGCATTTCCTCTACAAAAAAAAAACTCATCAGTTACGCCCTAATTTTAAAAGGTAAAAGGTCTAATAAATATAGAAGTTGAAGGGTATTGAGGACCAAAAAATATAGAAATTTATGTCCAAATGCTAATTTTTAAAGTGCTGTTGATATTAAAATTGTTTAATAAAAGGAAATGTATATATACATGTATGTTGAAGAGACAGCCACCATGCATTATATGTGAATACACAACAGAAAGACATGATAGTTGTAATGATGATGAATCTTAATGATTATTGAAATCAATATTGTTCAGTTGCAACATTTGTATTAATAGGGGCGGATCCAGCCATTTTTAAAAGAGGGGGTTCCAACCATATGTCCCCATTCAAAAGCTTGATCGTCAAAAAAAAGGGGGGTTCCAACTCCCGGGACCCCACCCCCCTCCTGGATCCAACACTGATTTATTATGACATTGATTACTGTTATAAGTTTTAGAATTGATTTTTTGCAGGACATTAAGTATATGGCCATTTAGTTAGTCCAATATCAGTTTAAATTAGCAAGTCAGTCGTGTTAACCTTTTTCTCTAATTCTTAACTGGAAATTTAACGCTTTCTGAACCCATTGTTTAACAAATTTAATCAACTTGTAGTTGCTGATGATCTCAGAAGATGATTGGTTTAGTTAAAAGGTCATAACCTTTATCTTTTACTACATGGAAAAAGTTTCACCATCAGTAATTTTTGTTCAAGTTGTTTAATATAAAATATGAATATATATTTCATCAGATTCAATGTTCTTGATAAAAAGTGGTATTTATTAATGTTTGCTTCCATTTGATCCAGAGATGTATATATGAAGTGCTTGCGCACCAAATTTGTAAGTGTATGACGTAGAAATCAGGAATGACATAAGGCACTCTAAGGGGATTTTAATTTATCAAATATGAAAATTTATTTGATAGTCATTAGAGAATCCAATTCTTACATAGTTACTCATTGATTATCAGATTGATCCAATCTCGATCAGTCAGGGGCATTACTTAAACAAGATACTTTTTTTAGATACTTATATAGGTAATATTTGTTTTAAAAAAATATAAAATTACTCAATAGAGTTATATTAAATTTCAATAGAAGCATGGACTAAATGTAGTTTTCATGAATTTTAACATCATTTTATATCATAAAATTAAGAATTTATTAGATCTGAGTGGAGTATAGACATAGTGGGTTACTTTGAAAATAATGACAAAAATGTTACTTGAATAAGTTATTTTATACATCTTTGAAAGAATTAGTAATAACACTTATTTAAGGATCATATGTAATAGTTTTGGGTTGCAAATTATAAATAACTTCAAGTCTTAACTAATTCAAAAGTTTCTATCTATTTATATCTGTCTACCTTCAAGATTTTCATGGAAAACGATATTTTTATAGTCCCAAGAGACCAATCTTTGACCCATAAGCGTTGATATGAAACCTAAGTGCGTCAGAAAGGCAATTACCGGTAGTGTTTCAGAAGGATTAGGTTTTATATTTCATGGGAAAAATAACCAGATGACTGTAAAAATTTGTTAAAACTAAAATAAAATCTGTATAATTGGACTCTTATAAAAATGATATTTAGAAAAGTTACTTATATAAGTAATTTTTAAAATAGCCTCGTTTTCAACATTACTTGTATAGGTAATTTTAAATGTTACTTGTTTAAATAATGCCCCTGACTGTCGATAGTTATATATTTAATTATCTCCATTTCATAAATCTGATAATCCACTGGTACCAATGTAAGAAACTATATTCAAATTAGTACAAGGTATGTTATAAATGAAGTTCCACCATGCTTAAAGCAGACCTGCAACCTTGGGGGTTTTGCAAGTAACCTTTCAACCTGAAGTCTCATTTATATGGACCTGTGACCTTTAGTTCATGTTTATTGTTAAATCGTCAAATTTGATTAAAAGTGACCTGGTGATTTGAGGCAATTTAAACATGACCTTGTGACCCTACTGGAGTCCTATTAATTCAGCACTAATTTATATATTTTTCTTTTTTTTTAGATAACTGATGATGATGATGGTTATTTTACAACAGAAGAAATCGATGATAACTTTTTAGACAATCTTCGTAAACAAACAGGATTAGGATGGTGAAGTGAAAAAGAACTATTCTAAACAATTGTAAATTGCTTATTATAGGGTATATGCTATAAGCTTTAATCCTATGCTAATTTCAGGGGCAGATTCAGGTGGGGGCGTGGCTGGCGTGCACCCCCCCCCCCCTAAAATTTGCAAAGCATGGGTTGTCCTCAGCTTAATAAAGAATATTTCGATAATTCTACCTCACTCAAAAAAATTTTTGCGACCCCCTAACCTAAAATTCTGGATCCGCTCCTGAATTTTTAGTCAAATTAAGACAGAAAGCATGATAGCACATTTGCCAAATGTAGTTATGCATATATTTTTTATATCATTTGATACAAAAGATTCCTTTAAATGCTTTTTGTTCATTTTGTTCTTAAATCTTCTATATTTGAAACAAAAAACTCCAATGGCTAATGTTTTATGATATAAAGTTGTCAGCAAAAACAATCTGTAATGCTTTTTAAATGTCTGATAAATTATTTTAGAATGAAGTGCATTATGAACCATTTGGTATGTTTAGATTATAATTTTGCACTGAATGAAATGTATTTTCTTATTTTGAGACATTTAATAAATTTTAATAAATTTTCAAATAATTAGGCTTGCCGAGTATTTCAAATGTTTAAAAATTTTACTGTAAAGAGTTGAGATGTTTTGCTTCGCATAATATACAGTAGTAAAATTTCAAATTATATTTATACAATTTTCAAAAAATTTATTTTACTTTTGGGTGATCTCATCAGGAATGGTCACCTTTCTATGCTGTCAAAATAAAATAACCAATGAATGGCAAGGAACAAAAATGTCATAATATTTTAGCAGTGGAGAGTTCAAAATAAAAGAAACATGATAAATACAGTATCAATCAAAACACTTATAAACTGGCTATCAATAAGAGATATTTTTTTAAATAAATGATTGTTGGAAGAAATGGAGGTAATTTTTAAACTCACATTTTTTTACTATAAATTATATTATTCGAACAATATTTATGCAAAAGTGTGTTCTATATAGTATATAACTCTAGTCATAGATTAACTTATATAATGTGTCGAAATGTATTGTCAATATTTTTAAATATTTTTATTTTTTGGAATGGTGCTTTTATCGAAATAGTTGAAACGTTCATAGTCGAAATGCCATGAAACTCTTGTATTGTATTGTTTTATTTTCTATTTAATTAGGGGGGCGGTAATTTTATTGGCAATATTTTAAGTAATCATTGAATTGTCTCACACTTTTATATAGATATCACTGAACTTGTTACGTTTTACAAAAATATATATAAAATGAAAAAAAAAGTGTATACAATGAACATATATGTGGTGTAATCTGCTTGGTTTGATTTTAAATTTTAAGCAATACCCAGGCAAGCTAAGCCTAGGACTAGTTTGAAAAAAAATGGTTTTAATCAAATTCAGATTTGAAGGCTGACCTGATTGTCAAATGTATATATATATATATAGAGAGAGATGAGTATTAATGATCACTTCTGTACACTTAAAAATACTTTGTGTATTGCGTTTGATGTCCTTGTTTAATACCTACGAGAAAGTAACACCTCCCGAAACGAAAGCTGATTTTTATCAGCTATAGTTAGAGGAGGGGATAAGGCATCTGTGCAATGCTAGGTGGTGTTGTCGTAGAAGTATAAAGTGAAAAGTACAGGTTCCAGCCCCCCCCCCCCCCCCCCCCCCCCCAGGGAGGAAGTAAAGAATCAGATTTACTCTAACATTGTTAGGTTGATTTTCTAGGCCTATATATATATATATATATATGTGCTCCTTGTTACCATCAACAAATGAATCAAATTCGGATTTGAAGGCTGACCTGATAGTCAACTGTAAAAAAAATATGGCTCCTTGTTGCAATTAAAAGTAGACACAAAATGTATTTACTGCAATACCTTTCAAAAATATGGGAATGAACATGATGAAGATAGAACAAACTTACGAAATTTTGCTCAATCTAAAATTTACAACGAATAATATATATAAGCATATCAAATATTTTATTTTTCAAATTTAAAACAGCAGCTATAAATATTTCTAAGCTATGATTGTATGCCATAGGCATGCACATGTTTTTTTGCCCTAGAAGTAGTTTGAATCAAATCAGATTTAGAAGACCCCCTGATGGCCCCTATGGAGTCATCTGTATATAATATTTTATTTTCTATGAAATCAAGTGTTTGTTTTGACAATCACATGTCTGTGTGTTGCGATATTGCTCAATGATACATCAGTTATACATTTCATAAATCAGACATAGAAATAATTGACTCCTCATTACTGTCTAAATTCCATTTTAAATCGGAGTAAACCATGAAAAAACGTTGATGACGTCACAGTCACATGACAAAATTATGTCTATGAGCTGATAAACAAAACAACGTCAGCCAATCAGAAGACGCATTACATCTAAAATTAAATTATTCTGTAATAACATTGCGTTTGCAAAAATTTTAGATTCTATGGCTTCTGCTTTTTACGTATCATCCAATCAATTTTAGACTTGTCTAGCCAGTATGCTTTGTTTCCAATAGTCGTACATACTGTAAGTAGGGTTAAATACTATACATAAGAATACAGAGGATGCATGAAAAATGTTTAGTGGGGACAGTGACCTTGTCAATTCAAGGATGTAGGGAACCGGTTTGCCAAACAAACATTTGAATGACATCAAAAATCAGCATAAAATAAAAGAGTTTTTCTGGTAATGAAAATGATAAGGATTACTATCAGTGTGTAATATAAAGGTATTACAAAATATATCTCTATTCGTTTCAAAGTTAATTAAGGTGGTACATAACACTACAGGGAGGTAACTCTGTAAAAATCAGCTGAACGTTTTAATCACGTTCTTTTGTTAAGGAAATATTAAACTTCTAATGATCAAAATTAGTGTTTTCAAACTGCTATATATCCAATGAAATTTTTCCGATAAAAGTGTGTGGTTCAAGTTTTTTGAAATTTTTATATTTTTGTCAAAGGGTCAAAGTAAATATTTTGAAAATTAAACAAGCCAAATTAATTTTAGTCAAGGTGTTTGGTACCACCTTAAAGTATTATAAAGTATAGTAATTATTAATATAATCCATTTTAGATTTGCTTTATTTCTCTCTATGATCGTATGTGATTGTCTTTTTTATATATATTTACCTCTTGTTTCACATGTGAATGTGACAGAATGTTTTTAAATAAAGCATAGTTTATTGTATTGATAAAACTTATTAGCTATAACCCCTTTGAAAAATCTATTTTCTGAATTTTGATTCTTTTAAAATTGAAATGAGTTATGTCTCCATTCCAAGGAAGAAGTACCGGTTTCAAAAGCATGCAAAAAAAGTTAAAAACTAAAAGATTTTTTAAATTCATCTTGTATACAAACATTCCCAGCTGTGTTATTGAGTTTGATAACAAGAAAAAAAAATTGTAGAGTTGTTAGGAACTTTTATATTCTAGATTTTTTTCAAATTTAACAAGGTATTGAAATCAGGTAATTATGGTAATTGACTCTTCATATGCTGCATCTAAGTAATTCTTTTGGCAAAGGTAAATAACTGGCTTGAAGTTATAGTTTTAGAGTCATTTTCATTGATTTTGAAGTGAGTTTCTGAAAGGGGTGTGTCAATTGTTTGTAACCAATATAATCAGTCAGTATTTTATTATTTCAATTAACTATTTTTAGTTAATTGATATGTAATTATTTTATGGCATGGCAGTTTTTATATTTGTATTTTTTTGATTTTCTGTTTAATTTTTGCTCATTATTTTATGCTAGATTTTTTTATGTATTACTACTGGGTAAAATTTGTTTTAATGTTGAATTCTTTTTTTTTCTTTAACATTTTACATTATATGATACAGATTTTTGTCGAGCCTGCGACTTTTGTCGCAGAAAGCTCGACATAGGGATAGCGATCCGGCGGCGGCGGCGGCGGCGGCTACGGCGGCGGCGGCGGCGTTAGCTAACTTCTTAAAAGCTTTATATTTTAGAAGATGGAAGACCTGGATGCTTCATACTTTGTATATGGATGCCTCATGTTACGAAGTTTCCGTCAGTCACATGTCCAATGTCCTTGACCTCATTTTCATGGTTCAGTGACTACTTGAAAAAAAAGTTCAGATTTTTTGTAATGTTAAATTCTCTCTTATTATAAGTAATAGGATAACTATATTTGGTATGTGCGTACCTTGCAAGGTCCTCATGCCCGTCCGACAGTTTTCACTTGACCTCGACCTCATTTCATGGATCAGTGAACAAGGTTAAGTTTTCGTGGTCAAGTCCATATCTCAGATACTATAAGCAATAGGTATAGTATATTCGGTGTATGGAAGGACTGTAAGGTGTACATGTCCAACTGGCAGGTGTCATCTGACCTTGACCTCATTTTCATGGTTCAGTGGTTATAGTTAAGTTTTTGTGTTTTGGTCTGTTTTTCTTATACTGTATGCAATAGGTCTACTATATTTGGTGTATGGAATGATTGTAAGGTGTACATGTCTAGCTGGCAGGTGTCATCTGACCTTGACCTCATTTTCATGGTTCAGTGGTCAAAGTTAAGTTTTTGAGTTTTGGTCTTTCTTTCTAATACTGCATGCAATAGGTCAGCTATATTTGGTGTATGGAATGATTGTAAGGTGTACATGTCTAGCTGGCAGGTGTCATCTTACCTTGACCTCATTTTCATGGTTCAGTGGTCAAAGTTAAGTTTTTGAGTTTTGGTCTTTTTTTCTAATACTATATGCAATAGTTCAACTATATTTGGTGTATGGAAATATTTTATGATCTATATGTCAGTCACGCAGGTTTTATTTGACCTTGACCTCATTTTCAAGGTTCATTGCTCAGTGTTAAGTTTTTGTGTTTTCGTCTGTTTTTCTTAAACTATAAGCAATAGGTCAACTATATTTGTTGTATGGAAGAATTGTTAGCTGTACATGCCTGCCTAGCATGGTTCCTCTGACCTTGACCTCATTTTCATGGTTCATTGGTCAATGTTTAGTTTACTTGGTTAATATTAAGTTTATGTGACAGTTGTAATAAAGCTTTATATTTAGGACTATCAACATAATATCAATGATTAGTAAAGAAGGCGAGACATTTCAGCGTGTGCACTCTTGTATTAATATACTTCAGTTTTTTAAAAACTACAAACATATAATTTCACATAAACCATTGCATCAAAGTTAAAATGAAGTCAAAGAGGGGTAGTGCATTGTATGCATGTGTCTAAAATAAAAATAAAAAAACCCAATATTGGAATATGATATAGTTGATTATATATTAACATGATTAAGGATGTTCGCTCCTCTTTTTCAAAATAACAAGCTTTTTAAAAGACTGTTATAAATTGATAGTAAATAAATAAAAAAACTAAATATTCAGAAAAAAATGAAGGGTCCATGTGCTTGTTTCTGAAATATAAGCCATTGAAAATTTGGCGGGAAATGATTCTCTCTAGATTTTTCTTACATTTAACATTGGCACCTTCTTTCATTCAAAAACAATGAAAAAATAACAAGGATTTTATAAGATTTTAAATTATGGCTTATGAAACTAATTGTAATAAAACTGCTAAAGAAAAGTAGGAATTAGCAGGCAAAATTTTTAATGGCACTGCATGGATAAAATCAGAGGATTCTGAATATCTGGCAAAAATTCTAAAACAAGAGAGGCAAATCTTCTTGATGAGAATTTTTATTGCCCAACAACTAAATGATAATGTTTCTGAACAAGCATTAAGTTATCCATTTAACATGTTTATCAAAGAAATATTGGAAATTCTATTAAAATCATGTTATTTTCTACAGGGTTTGTTACATATATGTTTATATCATATTTATTGTGGGTAAAGGCCACTTGTTGACTTCAGACTAGAATAATGAAATAGAGAAGAACACTTTCCATAACAGCAAGTTTTACATTGTGACAAAAAGTGCTTATTTTATAATAACTATATGTGCTTTCCAAATGCTTATATGATTGTTAGTGTCTGTTTTGTTTATCTTTCTATCCATTTATTAGAAATAAAGAATGAAATATGAACACCTACATTTTGTACTTTGTGCTTTTGCTACAATTATTTTTGACTACTGTAAATTTAGTTATTATTGTGCACATTAGAAATATGAGTTCTTATTATTGCAATACTCACCCAGTCATATCATTGGCATTATTAAATACCTCACAATAATTTCTGTATTTACTGGACATATTGGGGATATTAATTTAGACAATTATTTGATAGATTGTTGTTTAGTTTGCATCCAGTGACAATACTTATACCCCCGCTTTAAAAAAGTGGGGGTATACTGTTTTACCTCTGTCTGTCTGTCAGTCCGTCCATCCGTCCCATGAATATTTTTCATCGCATCTTTCTCAGGAACTACATTACAAGGATTTCTGAAATTTGGTTTCAGGGTTTGTATGAGTCAGCTATACCGTGTGATGCCTTTTCAGATTCATCACTCAACAACTTCCTGTTTACCATATACTTTTAGCGGGCGGGGGTATCATTAGTGAGCAGTAGCTCACAGATTCAATTGTTTTATTAGTACTCAGGACGAGAACAAAGAAGGTATAATAAGGCCACTTTTTATACGACCCAAAAAAAATTTTGCGGTCGTATATTGGTATGACGTTAGCGTCGTCGTTGTCCGAAGACACATTGGTTTTCGCACTCTAACTTTAGTGTAAGTAAATGGATCTCTATGAAATTTTACCATAAGGTTCAATACCACAAAAGGAAGATTGGGATTGATTTTGGGGGTTATGGTACCAATAGTTTAGGAATTAGGGGCCAAAAAGGGGCAAAAAATAAGCATTTTT